CCATTATAATGAGAAATAACAGACAATGATGTCAAGAAAAATATATGGGGATGTAATTAGGAATAATTGTAGTGCAAACGTGTAGAAAGAAAAGTGGACGAAAAGGTAACTTGCCACAGGCAAAATCCGAACCTGCAACTTGCGAAGGCCGCAGGTTCGAATCCTGCGAGCCATGATATAAGCTGCTACTCAAACTGCGTCTCAAACTTTCGGCCCAATCTGCTGGGACGCAATGCGTTTTAATGTGACGAATGCAGCACCTGCTGTATCGCTACAGGCAACGAGAATGGTATTTGCTTATTTACTATTTTCACTGCGGCGCGCTCTCGAATGGCAGATGTGCTACATGTTCTCAATTTAAACCAACGAACCCTTGTTCACGAACATAAGCTTTGGCGTCTTCGAGCTGTTGATGGACATCGACTCGTGCGACGTGCCGCAGTGGACGAGCCCCTGGTACGAATGGGTCCACGCGGTCTGCAGCTTTATGGCCAAGAAATACTGGGACCCGAGTGACCTGTACTTCTGCATGAAGGTGCAGCCGCAGCCATGGCGGGACGAGCCACTTAGATTTTCTTGACACGGTTGCAGATTACACTGCGGCGGAGCGTCTAGCAGCTTGAGGTAATGAACCACAAAAACGACTGGGACGGATGTCATCTTGACGAATTTTTTTGGCATTAAAAACGAAATAGGTATCATCAATTTTCTTCACATGGCTCGACGTGCTCATTATAGTGTCATTAATTACCTACAAGACACACGCAAGTGTCCACCTAACCGTGTTGACACGCAAACGTCGTCACGCGGAGGGAAATTGAGCATGTAGGAGGGAAGCATGCGGAGGGAAATTGAGCATGTCGTAATTTTTATATAGCAAGACGTCATGAAAATAACACTAAATATATGCACAAATAAATGTTGCACGCAAAGACATACGTTGAAGACTTGCAGATGTTTATATAACCAGCTGTTTGCACTTGTGCAATGACGCCAACAGGAACATCAGCGACACTAAAAGCGACACTAGACGTTAACCCGACGTCACGGCCAACGTTGCTAGAATAATTATGATAACGTTGGCCGCGGCTGTATCGTAGGAGTACGCATGTAACGTTTATAAAAGTGGAAAGCCAGCCCGGCAACCGCAATTGCCGTTTCAAGAACGTTAGCGTCTATTTGAAAAAGTTGTTCCGACACCTGGCGTGGATTTGTGGTAGAATACTTGATTGCAACGCAGAATACTTGGGTTCGATTCCTGCTGGGAGCCCGACATTAATTCTTTGCATTCGTCGGGTCAGTGCTGCCGACGTAAGTTCTCGTCGTTCTTTGGTGGATACTAAGTGTCAATCACCTGTGGCACATACCCGCATGCCAGCGGCACATACCGGCCCGTATAGGTATGTGCCACTTTTTGCCGAGATGTGTTTGAGGACGTATACGCGACGGGGTTGTGGCAAATTCGTGTCTTGACCAGCGCGCCATATTCGTCAAACCATCAACCACCTCCCATACTAATATTGGCATAGGGACCGAGGTTAGATTCTCTATAGCCACGCGTGTGGCGACGAGCGAAAAACAAGGGACCCGTTCAGGCCGACGGCAGGAGCAGAAGTGAGCCTTATTCCCTTCTAACTGTGAGGACGCTGCACGAGGAACAAAGCGCATGGGCATGCATATCCACTTGAGCGCGCCATAATTAATAGGTGGCCGATCAAGATTATGATGGCCGCCAGAATTGGTTTACACCAATTCAAGGGGGTGATCATGAGAGCACTCAGACGTAAGTGGATAGATAGATAGATAGATAGATAGATAGATAGACAGACAGGCAGACAGACAGACAGACAGATAGATAGATAGATAGATAGATAGATATGTTGCGTCATTACATCGCCATTCATCATCATCGTCCTTTTTCTAACCACCGCGCTGCGTCTGTCGTGCAGCTCATGCGACAGCTCGAGGCGCGAGCTGTTGGAGACGCCATCGCATCCTTTGTGTTTCAGTACTCGGTCGTCCTGGTTCCGCTTCGATGCATAGCACCATCTCGCCACCATCACCGGCTCGGCCTTTTCGGCGCCCTCCCACGGCTCCCCGTGTGGGTACCTTTGTCAGACACGCATTCTCGTAGCACCAGGTGCGCTCTCGAGTGACCCGCCAAGTCATCGTGGGATGCTCGTGTTTATGGCCACAGCGACCCGACGCTTCCATCTTTGCCTGTTGCGTTTCTCCCAGTGTCGCCCGCCAGAGACCCACTGGTTGCCGATTGTCCCTTCCAGTTGACGACCTGGACTGCTCACGAACCCCGTTTCGTTTTGCGAACCTAACTCGCTTGTATATACGCTCTCATTATTTTCATTCCGGCTTCATTTCTGCGGGGGGGGGGGGGGGGGGAGTAATCTGTAGCGTCATCATCATGCCATTCATCATCATCGTCCTTTTTCTAACCACCACGCTGCGTCTCTCGTGCAGCTCGTGCGACAGCTCGAGGCGCGAGCTGTGGAGATCGAGCTCACGCGCCTGGAGGTTCGGACGTGGCAGCCGCAGCCGCTCCGCTTCGGCAATCGCCTTTGATAATAAAGTGGTGAGGGAACGACACGACCACGTTGGCTGCTGTCCCGTCTTCCTCTCTTGCTACTGATAGATAGATAAATAGGTAGACTCCAAAATGCTTGCATTACGCAAAAAAAAAATGCTTCGCGTTTATTACCGTGGCTACACAATAAAACACGCGTATCAAACACAAGTGAAAGGCAAAGAAAAAAAGGATAAGGGCAATGCCGATGAGAATACAGTGCTTTAAGGACACATATGTCGACGTGGTAAACATCTAATCGAAGTACGTATAAACTCGGGAGTGAACTCGAATGGTGGTCACGCTTAGCTTCTTGTGTTTAAATTTTCTGTAGCACTTGAAGTTCCAAGTATTCATCCCTAAGCAAATACAAAGCAGGTGCGAGCCCTTAGTCTAAAAAAAATTAAAATGCACGCAACATACGCCTTTCAGCGGCATTTCGCTCACCTGAATCAGAGCGCTACAAGACATACGACTTTTCTAGCGTGTTTGGAATTCGCGAACAACGTTCGGCGTGCATTCTCTTAGAGCACTGAATTCTGACTTAGTGCTAGTGTAATAGCATTACCATAGCTGTCTCGGTCTCATCTCTCTCATTCCACAAACGCACGCACACACATACCCACACACACCACTTACAGGCATCACATGTATGGTCACAACAGCGGTATCGACTTGCCAATTTCAGCGCGGCCCCCATTTTCACACCTAGTTTACCCTGTGTGCATGTGCCGCGTAATGCAGGCAGGGTGTCGGAGCTAAATGTTTTATTGCAATAGCAAATATATGGACACAAACTGCTGGATTTTGCCGCCGGCTTCAACGTCGGCGTCGCAGTCATTCACCGTACATGTATACGTATATATCCATATAAAAACGTAAGAAAGGAAAAATATTCCAGAAAAAGACTCCAGCGCACGGAATCGAACGTACGACCTTTTGCTCGTGAGTGCGAGGTGTTAGCCACTGCGCCACGAAGGAGCACTTTACACTGGCGATGGCCATATCGGGGGGGGGGGAGGGTTAACTGTCGTATATTTACCAGCGAGATGGTGCGATGAGCGCGCGTCGCCAGATCGTCACGAGTCGGCGGCGCGCGCCCTCATTTCCCACGCATACTTTGCCCCGCGCAGCAGGGAAGTGGACGCATGCGCACGCTTATCTCGCGGTGGGGAGAATCGTACGCCTTGGGCTTTCACCGGAACGATCCTGTTGTAGTTACCGGGCGGCCAAAGTCATTGGACTCGTTGCACAGTCTCCGTTTGCGAAAAAGGCCTACTTTTCAGAAACAGCGAAGTAGCAACCGAGACGCCTATTCGCGTTCACCTGTACCTGTCATTACGTTTGGCGCGTCACTCGTGCGTGAGAAACGTAGGAGCACGTTTGTATCTGCTCGTTATTCTTCGCGTGACTATTCCAATTTGTTGCTATCGCGTTCATTGCTTTGCCTTTGCGGAAAAGCTGTGACTTTTTTAGTTTCGGTTTTAGTTTCCCAGCCGTGGAAAATTTGCTGGTGCGGTACTGGTTGGCAAAAAAATAACTGTTACTGGCAGCAACGTTTTATTAGTAAAGAAAAATCTGAAATTTTAATAATGATTAAAAATTCTCTGAGGCTTGAGGTTTTGCAGCTAGACAGTATGTGGGATCTTGGAAGCACTACATCATCGCGTGTAAACAAGGTTCCGCGCCTAGAGTGCCGTATCTGTGCTGGCCTCTTGCACGATAGTTTCCTAAAACTAACTAGGGGTGACTCTGGTGCTGCGATCGTTCAGTGACCATAGTACACAGATTTGCCTAGTCTTCGTGCCTGCGGGTGTTGAATCGCACTTGCGGCTTTATTTATTGCTAGTTTCGGTTTTGTTTTGAAGAAAAGAACGAACTCTTTTGAACCTCGAGACCTAAAGGAATAAGGTGGTGAAGCACAACCGCTGAGCATTTGCTGATTTTTGTTTCGTGAGAAGACAGCTCCAAGCCACACACGGAGCCAGAAGCAGGTCAGAAGTGCGAAAATTAGACAAGTACGTGCACTACCCATCATTCCCGTGGCCGCTGAAGCGCCGTGCGTTGCATCTCCCATAGACACTATCGCCAGAGTTCCCTCTAGTGTATATTAGGAAACTCTATGTGTTGCGCACCGAATAAGAAGGGTCACGCTTCATCGCATCTCTCCACTTACACACATTTTTTAAAACAGCCTCAGCCCAGACCAGTTCGTCCGTCACTTCATTCGGCCAAAGTTTCAAGGCTGCGCTGAAAATGTGGCGCCATGTATACGAAAGAAGACTGGCAGAAGAGTATCGTTTTTCGACGACATTTTCAATGAAGCACGCAGATACGGGGTCATCTTTAAAAAAGTCTTTCCATGCGTCAAAATGGTTGCGTATAGAATATTCCGCATCGGCTCCGACTATACTCTCCATTTCACGAAAGACGAGCCGATTCGCATCCGGCTCTAATTTACGCGTCGTTCTTCGCTCATCGCGCGCAGGTCGTTAAGGGTGACGTGGCGTATTCCTTGAACGGACAGAGCCAGTCCGGTGCTCTCCTCGAGGACCTTCAGTATTTGAACGCCCATGATTGAGTCTAAGCCAAGCTCGCCGAGGCTGCTGTCTTGGTTGAGTGTCGACGAATCTTGGAAGCCTGCGACAGCAATGCCGGATGAAAAAAAAAAGGACGTTAGTATTAAATAGCTTTGAAAGTTCGCGATGAAACGAGATAATCGAACCACGCGCGTGAAGCTCAATCACAAATTTATAAATGCAGGCTCTCTTACTTGTTAAAGAGACGCTAATATGAAACAATAAATTAGTTTGTACAGAGACGCTAATGTGAAAAAAACAAATTAATTTATACAGATGAATTATTTTTTTCAGAACCCAATCTTTTCTAATCTCGGCTTCATGGGTTATTTATTAAAATTGGAAACAAAGTTGAAAGTTTTATTTCTAGAATTTCACTCCAAAAACTATGCGCGTTGACGTAATTAATACGTGACAAACTGAAAGTCCATTGGCCTATTATGACGACATTTTTACTGTGAAATTTTGGGAAGCTTCCTATCTTAACGCTGTTAGTCCCTGATAACTCAATGTAAAAGCGATAAACTGTTATAGGCGCTAGTGGAGGCCCTTAAAATCGGACGCTTCGACGATGTGCTGCGAGAACTACAAGGTGGCGTCGAGGCCAATATTTTCTGCTACTGAGCATATTAGCATATAGCAAGCGTCTTCTTGCGGTCCGAGTCAGTCGTGGGAAATTGTAATTAGTGCGCGAAAAAAATTTACACAAAGGCAAGTGTACCTTTGTGTTATAAACGATTCCTACGAAAGAGGGATCGACCACAATTTTTTTTAGTGTACACGTTAACTGTGCCTCTCCGAACAATCCAGTGTTCACGTTATCGTGAGGTCGGCCGATATGGGTATCATAGTGGCTAACGTCGACCTTGCTATGTGCTAACAGACGAGTTCAGCGATAAAACGACAAAGTTTCTTCTTGTTACGCTGAGTAGCTTGCAAGACGCCCGCTTTACATTTTTTTTCGCATGGGCATTATGATCGAGCAAGGAGGCCAGTATCTCACCGAGAATGCGTGTCACCGAGTCAACAAGGTGGTTCTTTTCTGACTTCTTGTCTGAGCTGGAATGGACCTCAGCTTTGACAAAACTGGATACTATGGGGTGGCTCTGGTTGAGGAACCTCTCCATCACTTCCAAGAAACTCTTCATTCGCTGAGGCTGTGTTCCCTCGAATACTGCTTCAGTACTCTGGGAGTCATTGAAGGAGTTTCCGTCGATGATACCCCACTGGATGGCCAGTCCTAAAGAGAGCATGATCAACTTCGTTAGAAGAGTGATTATTGTTTGCGTACGTGGCCTGCGAAGAAAGACTTGCGAATGCCTCCTTTGAACAGCTTATGCCTAAAGCCTCGAGTGTACGAGATAAGTGAGCCATGAATAGAGTGCTGCACATGCATACTTAGCATAAATAAAAAAACGAAACAAAACGATAGCATTTTTTTTATGCGAGCATTCAGGTGGAGACCCGAGCCACACTTTTGCTGTTGGCATCACCGCCATGCTCTGTATAATGTATAAATGTATGATATCGCACCGTGCATAGTCTCTTTTAAGTGCGAGCCAAAGCTTGCAAAGACTGCAGACGGGCACGGCTCAAACTTGCTCTCCGCGGTGCCATTGTGCCCGACTTGCAAGACCTGTGGTGATATAGAACACTATTTACTCAAGTGTCGTGAGCTTAAGAATGAACGTCGATGTTTATTTGCAGAACGTCAACGTTTAGGCTCACCACGTGACAGTGCAAGCGATGTTAAACTCAGACAACCAATATTTTTAGGAGAGAAGCTCCTTAAGGCGTGGGCTGTGCGTCCCCTGAATTGAGCCCCTTCTAGTTTAGTTCTTGCAGTGTTCAGTAGATGGTGGTACTTGTAGTTGATGATGAAAGATGCGAGATGTTATGAAGTAGGAATGATATGGCGCGTGTCATTGGTGGAAGGCAATCGTTCGATTTAGTGCGGTGACGCACGCTAGGGGGAGCGCTGTAATAAAATCGAGTGGGCAAAATGTACGGAGGATTCATGGTTTAACAAGTTTACCTCCGGAGCATCACGCACTCATCATCATTCACTTCGTGGATATGGCGGCACTTTTTATGTGTCACATCAATATGATATTCGAAGAAATGAAGCCATTCAGTGGTGGCTAAACCCACCATTACGTTATTTTTTGTGCTAGCATGTACAATGTTAAAAATGCCACTGGCGCGTAAAGGCAGAAATTTTTTTCCGATGGAAGGTGGCACCACGTCGATCTGAAGTGAGAGGCAAGGCAGACAGATGTGGTCGAGTGTCATTTAGGGATAAGTATGCCATGATAAAGAAAATTTTGGGGTTGGAGGGGGAGGGGGGGGAGTCACGGACCCGGTTACGCCGCTGGTTTAAAATGTTGTCTGAGACAGACTCTTTCACACAAAGGAGGCGCAAAAACTGAATGTTTAAAGTAATCGCCAAGGAAATTTAAATGAGTTAATCATTCTATTAGCAATCGCGGAATCAGTAATGTTGACCATGAAGAAGAAGAAGACTTCTTTCAGGTGGAGACTCGAGCTCGCTTTCTTAGCCATAAGGGACCCTGTGTGCTACGCTTTCTCAAAAACAACGCGGAAAAGGTCTCACATCTCGCTAGCAACGTCAAACTTCATAATAAATATAGAACATCAAAAATATGGAACAGCTTGCCGCCTGAAATAAAGAAAGCCCAAAATTTTACCACTTCTATAAAAAATTTTTATCTAAGCTTAAATGATGCGAGCTAACTTTGCGATTTTTTGTTTCCTGGCATGTCGCGTTACAGTCACAGAAACATCATACGAGCTGGATGGTTATTTGGTGTGTGCAATTTTCAAAATGCGTGCCGTTGTTCTGAATTGTGAATCTTGTTGTGGCCTAGCAACGAATATTGTATATGTATTGCATTTGGGAATACGCATACTGGTATTGTTGACTACTTAATATGTCTCCGAGTTGTCTTGTTTATGTTATTATGTACACTTTAGTGATATGCTTGCGTTGGTGCACCTTTTGACACTATTGCGATTATAGATTTTATTGTCGTTTGGCACGAAGATCGCATGCTAAAAAATGCTTGTAATAGTACTGTACAACACCCTGTGTTTCTGAGTGTTAGTTTCTTTTTTATGTAACAGTAAGCCTGCATCCCTGTATACATTTTCTTTTTGGACCCAGGACTAGCCTTTGGCTACGGGTCCAGGCAGTATGATGATCTTTTGTGTTGTATGATTCAACAAATGAAAAAAATAAAAAAAAACTTACCGGGAAACCCGTCCGCAGCACGGCGCTCGCACAAGCGTTCCAACGCGGAGTCGACGTAGCCCGACAGAGAACTCTTCGGCGTTCCGCGACCGGAGCACATCGAGGAGAAGACGACGAAGTGGTCGAGCTGGGAGCACATTTTTCGGGAGTGTTCGTCCAGATGCCGCGCGCCGTCGACCTTGGTCTTGTAGTCGATTTTTCGCGCCTCCGTGGCCCGATCGGCTGTCAAGCCGTCTTCGTGACACTGCGTGCGCACACAAAGCGTTCGCTGTCGCTTACCGTAATCAGTTAATTGATTAGTCGGTTATTTGTTTTACTTAATGGCCCAATCGACAGTATTGAGTGGAGGCGGGAAGGGGGGGGGGCGGTACACTATTCATTGCTTTAAAACGGCAGTAGAAGTAAAACCTACCCTCACGTTCAATGTGGTATGTATAAGAGGTGTGAGTTCAAGGTGACGCAACTGTTTCAAAACTCTAAAGGTTAATAATCACCAAGACATTAGTATTGAAAGGCCAAACAGTGATGCGACAGGTAGGGACTGTAGAGAGCTTGAAATGCATCCTGGTAACAGCACATAAGAATAAAGGCGCAGTCCTAAGAAAATGTATAACAAACAGGAAAATAATATAGGTAACCCGTAAGGAGGTCTAAAAAAATGTTGTTTAACCTCCTTGGCAACCTGTGTAACGAAAACGCCATAGCTGCGTCTGGAAAAATGGCAGGTTCACATATAGTGTTGCTTCTTGGCGGTAAGATTAACGTGTACCTCTGATATCCCGTACCACCTGTATTCGCAATTGCGTACAGTTGGCGTTAATGTCTGAAAAGCATACCTTCCACCTAATGTTGAAAATCGGATACAGTCATACAGTGCTACATAATTTCTACCATCAGGGGTCATATAAATTGCGCAATATTCTTTATGTATATATTAATGACGGGAATGATTGAACTACGAATATATGGTTAGACGGTGTGCTAGCTCTAGAAAGTACCGACTGCGTGTTAGTTGTTATGGCGTAAGAGAGGGTGAGTCATATGGAATGAACTGTAAAGGAGAGCACAAAAGCAAGTATAAACAGACATCCGAGAACCCTAGTGAAAGTACAGCAATCATGTCACAGACTACCGCAGCAGCATTTCTGATGAACAGGGGGACTTTCAAGTTTATTCCATGTTGGACACGACCCTTTTATCATGCATCGTAATGATGCCTAATCATTTATTTGTTTATCTATGAATAATCTCGAGGATACCATTTCGTTATCGTGAAGTACCTGGCCCGCTGGCACATGAGATTGCAGCACACATTCTTGTAGTTAATTGGCAATGCCTATGACGGCTGCGATTGAAGCAAGAATGTGGTTCTCAATGCTACAGCACGCGTGTTCAGCAAACTGAGCAACGCGCTCGTGGCCAAGCGACGAAATTTACGTATGCTCCGAGTTCGTGTGTTAAACTTTAATAAGGCACAGACAGCCACGCATGTCTCGCAAAGCAAAGTGAGGTAATCTGTGGATTAGCATCGGGTCTGAGGCACCAGTTGGACCGTAGAACGGCAAAGAAGTGCAATGGTTGAATCGGCCATGTGTTTAAGCTAAAATACGTGTTTTGACACGTCATCGTGTGTAATAACACATACAGAGCACTTTACCTAAAGGATTTTCAATGGTGAATGAAGCAGCTATGCTCAGCTTTCTACATTCTGCTACTCTTTGCACACGCACAGAATAAGGCACGGATACCTTAACAATCACACACAAATACTGCCAAAGGGGAAGGCTGGTCTAGTGAGTCCATCGTTTTCTTTCCAACCACCCACACTGAGTTATTTGCAGGGTGTGTTATCAAAAATCTACGGAATAAATTGTCGTCATTCCCTCTGTTCTGATTGTGAGGTGTCTGAATGTACAGGCGGGTCAGCCGTTAAAGGACCACCTGCACGCACAGCTTGCTTGGTTTTCGCTATCTTACAGAAGCATACTGGCTCAGATTTGCATACGACTACTGTTGGTTGACAGTTGCAACTCCCCTTGACAGACTATAGTGACGTGCGTGAAGATTGTTTCCTTGTCCACTTGCAGATAGAGGGCCCAGCAATATTGAGGATGTTTATTGGAGTGTTTCCTTTGACAGTGGATCGTACTGTACATATCCGGAGGAATGGTCAGTCTATCGCGAATGACTCAAGGTGCCAAAAGGGCGCTGGCTCACCAGTGAGACGTTGAAGATGCCGCCAACTGGGCCCATGGCCTCGGCGTCCTTTATGACCTGCAGAGCGCCTTGCGGCGTGGACACGTCGACTTCGCTGACGACGACTGAGGCACCTGCCGTTTGCCACCGGTGCAGACAGAGACGTTGATAGCCCGTGACCATTCCTCGTCCTCCGGTGAGAAGCACTTTCCGGCAGCCCCTGGTCACCATCCAGTCCACCAACTCCAGAGCAACACTGCTCGCCTCTCCAACAACGACGTATGCTTTGTGCGTGTAGAAGTACGTGCGGGCGATGGCTTCTATCGTGAAGGGTGAACTGCCGTCCTCGGTTTGGTGGCTCCCCTCAAGCTGGATCTGCGCGATTTTGGATGCGTCAGATTATGAGAGAAAGATGTAGCAAAAATAAGAAAAAAAATGACAAGATGTACACCTTGTTTAGCAAGACTAAATAAAATGCTGCACGGTGTTTGTTGCTGAGAAGTGCGAGAAAACTCTAAACCTATTCTATCTCGGCCGGTGCCCTTAAGCTTCACCTGCAGACGTTGTTGTCAGGAATGCAAAACGAATTGAGAAGACTCCGGGGAAAACTGAGCAAACGCTGTGTGATTCGAGTACACTGTATATATTATGACGCCGTGGATTAAACGTCACAGATAGTAGTGCAGCACTTGTACGATTACAATAGTTCTGATGTTATGTGTAATAGGCGCCCATCGTTTGAACTCCTGAAACATGCCAGAGAACCTGCCATTAACCATTAGGCTCAAGAATGCTCATCCTCAGCATTTTACAAATGGAAAGTTATCTGCTACTAGTTTGTTGCTTAGCACGGACAATCAGCACCAGATATCTTCTGCCCAGTTATGTGCCGTAAGGCAAGCAGGTGTTCCAAATACAGTTCCGCTCTAAAGAAAAAAGCCAATAGCGCGCTCAACAAGATAGATAGCGTATTCATAGACCTTGCCGATTCACTCATTTTGGCTTTTGCTTCTGCAATTTCTCGTTGATGTGAAGTGACCGTCTGGATAAGCGCCTCAGCTACCAGCACGCGATTCACTTTCACCCAAGGATCAATGCACACTCACGTATTTCTTCTGGCTGCTGCAAGACACTTTTGCTTAAACAAGGCCGTCACGTATCTTTTATAACGCTAAAGAAGGGAACACAGAATATCGGGTTTTGACAAGTGCAGTACACTGAACAAAGCAGAGGCTCATATTGCAACGCGTGCTCACGCTGAAGCAAAGAAGGGGAAAGTGGGACGGCCATGGCATAAATGAAGATTGAGTACCTGGAGTACGACTTTGTTGGTGCTCGCTTCGCAGGCTTCTGGCGTGAATGCGTGCGAAGCCTGCTCTCGTGCAAATACTGTCACAGGCAATGGCTTCACGGCACCCGATGAGATACCCTCACGAACAAGCTCAGCAACACGCCACTTCTCCTCCGCGGCGCTGGGATCGTTCGCGTGCAGGGCATCCGTTCGGATCACAGTGACGTTGAGGACTTTGCGCTTTGAAGAAAGTCCTTGAGGTGGGAGGGACGGGAAGCTGCTGTCCACGGCGTCGTGAAAAAGATAGCGACCATTTGGAGCCAAACAGTGAATGATGACGTCTCTATTTGCACTTTGCAGACTGTGAAAAACAAGGTCCACTCCTGCAAAGCCAGAAAAGCAGCGTGGTGATGCTGTTGGGAGGTACAATTCGCCTGAAGTATTATGTCACATCAAAAGAACTGCCGTGTTGAAAAATTATTCTATTCTGCAAGACCACGTGCACGAGCGCACAGAGGAGACAGAAAGCCAAAGATCAGCTACAGCGTTCGCATTGGACATATGTCAGTGCAAGAGTATATGCTTTGATGTAAATACATTCCCCATTCCTCTTAAATGGTCTGGTTCTTCAACAAATGGTGCTGAAGACCCGTCGGGTTTTTTACACGCCGGGACTCTGCCTACCGGAAAACAGCATGTCGGAAAGCCGACAGAGGACAATTCCGGTGACAGAGATGTCAGCGATGCAACAGAAGGCCAGGCTGGGGCTCTTAGTTATGCCGGCGTAGAACACAAATGCAGAATACATTTAGCATCTAACAATGGAACATCTTGAGCCTGCAGGGGGATGGCTGCTTATAAAGGAAAGAGAGAGGTACATAGGCAAAAAAATCTAAAGCGACGAGTTCTCATGAGTGCCAGCGCAAAAAAAAAATAATGCACGAAAATCGAAGAAGTGCATGACAGAAGCACTGTCTAAGAGCTGACGTTTAATAGAAAAGACCACGCAGGAACTAAAAACTCGCAGAATATCCACGGAGTGCAAGATGATGAGTGGGCCGAAGCGTCCATCCTATCGTTCTTGCTTTCGTCCAACCAAGCGTCCGACCATGCATCCATCCGCGCGTCCATCCGCATGGACGGATGGACGCACGGGCGTAACTTCCTTTGTTTTAGCAAGATTCAGCGAGTGTTGGGCCACTGTTCCATGACTAGAGGTGGCGAAAGGTGGAAGCTAGACACGTAGCGCAGACCCTAAGAAAGTGCGCGCGTGCCGCTCTTCTAGTCCGGCCGTGCCACCTCTCGTTTAGTCCTTGGTATGTCTGCTGGATGGAGGTACTTCAATATGATGAAGATATGATGCAAAGATGCGAGATGGCGGTACTTGGAGTGTTCACTAGATGGGCGGACGGATGGACAGACCCACGAACGGAGAGATGCACGGACGGACAGATGGATGGACGGATGGACGAATGCATGCATGAATGGATGCACAGACTAATGCACGGACGGACGGCCAGATGCGTGAATGGACGGATGGACGCACAGACAGATGCACGCACGAACGAACGGACGACGGTCGGAAGCAAGAACGAACGGGCGGCGCTCTAGAGCGGGCATGTGCTACAGGGGATGCGAGATGGGAGATGGCGGTACTTGGAGTGTTCACTAGATGAACGCACGGACGGATGGATAGACGTGTGGACGTACGGACGGATGGACGCGCGAACAGACAGACAGACAGATGAATGTACGGACTCACGGACGGACGCATGGATGGACGCACGGATGGTCACGCGGACGGACGGAAGCAAGAACGAACGGACGAGCGGATGCATGGACGGGCTGATGGACGCTTCGCCCCATTCATCATCATTCACTCCGTGGATATGCTGTGATTTTTTAATGTAGCATACATGATTTCATGCGCTAAGGTATCATTACTATTTACAAGAGTAGAATAGACTGGATAACGCATGCTCGCATTTGCAGTAATTAAAATGCACAGGTAAATGTGCCGAAAATTGATTTTTCACAGGGAGTTCATGCTCTTTAATTTTGTCGTATCGGCACTGTGGGTATTGAAGCAGTTTGATCAGGTTATTTCGCTACTATGCGCGTAATGTTGCGAGTCCGAAACAACTGACCACTTATTTTTGACGAATAGATGATGGACTGCAGCAAAAAAAAAAAAAAAACGTTTTATAGACCATTTGCGAGTTATCGTAGAATACTTATCCGTGCCTATCATTTTGTTTTTCGAAGTTTCTTGGTTTTGCAAAGCAAAAGTATGGTTGACTGCGTGAAACTTTCTTAATGGAACGAAACGATTAATTTACTGAGCAGGTTACTCTGTCTTTTGTAAATTCACAGATCTCTAACAAGGTTTATTATTATTATTATTATTATTATTATTATTATTGTTATGATTAATATTATTACGATTATTATTATTATTATTATTATTATTATTATTATTATTATTATTATTATTATTATTATTATGTCAGGTTTTCTACAAAAGGTTTTTACATATGTCATCAGTCACCTAAACTTCGTCTAATATATCTATTCTTTCTGCAGCTCATTGTTACCCTGTTAATAAATTTTCTGCAAACTTATCAAAGAGCTGAATTCTGGACCAATCCCCAAGGTGGCTATGAACAACAACAACAACAACAACAACAACAACAACAACAACAACAACAACAACAACAACAACAACAACAACAACAACAACAACAACAACAACAACAACAACAACAACAACAACAACAACAACAACAACAACAATAACAACAACAACAACAACAACAACAAGTGGCATATTCGTAATCGTTAACTGAACATTTCTGAAAGGCTCGAAGATGCACCAATTATTCAGAGGAGTTTCCGGCGACAATGTAATAACACAGAGGCCTTCTTCAGAAAAAAACCGCTATTGGATGATCGAATGCATCGCCCATAAAGGCCCATCAACTACGATGTGCGCTTGTTACTTGTGTTCAGAGAGGCCGGTTACTTCAAACGCCAAGGTTGGTTACACACCTTTTCCTTTGGTTGGATCAAGGATGTATTCTTCCAAGCAAAGGCCATTGTAGTTTACAATGTTCCCATCTTCCAGTTGAGGGAAACGGTCCTTCAGGAACTGCTTCTCTCTCGCCGAACCTGTTGGCAACCAGTAGTAGGCGTAATTCAATAAAGACACGACTATTACAGCTTTATGCACGATGAAGGTGTTTCAACACACCTATGCCTACAATGACGAGAAATAACAACGAAAGAGAAAGTCGTGCTACATACCGTAACTACGCAGCTATTAGGCTGCGTATATCTAGGCGTAAGCTGTCCAACGGAAATTCAACATTTTCTGCAAAAAAAGTAGCTTTGACCTGTACTTTGACTGATTGAATAACGGGACGATATTACTATAGAACATTGTCATACAGGGCTGCTGCTAATATAAACGATCGCAGCATTGCAACTGAGGCTACGATGGACAGAGTTATTGACAAATATAATTAGCCTACCGTTTGACAAAGTTGTTCAAAACCTGAAGGCCTCAAATTACGGTTCTTATAGAGAACTTTGATTAAATGAACGTTTTAAATATTTTACTAGGCGTTTCTGACTACACTGTTTTCACTCAAGATACTGACGCTTTAATAAATAACAAATAAACTGGCCGAATGATTGGTTGCTCGATGATGCAGTGAATGCTTCGAAGAAACCGTCCAAGGTTCGTACTCTTACCGACGCTCGCGAAGACGATGCAGCCCATGGATAGAGCAACGGCGATGGCAGCCTGCCCCAAGCATCCACTTCCGCTGTGCACGAGGACGGATTCACCCGGCCGCATGTTACCCCGCACCAAGAGAGCATGGTAAACGGTTGCGTAGGATAAAGGAACGGTGGACGCTTCGGTCATGGTCCACGTGTCGGGTACTTCCCACAGAAGAACGGGGTCTGCAGCAACCACGGTCGCCAAAGCCTGGCCGGTCACGAGGCCCATGACCCGTAGCCCTGTTTGGTCCGTTCCGGAGAACTCTTGCCCCAGCATAGAACCTGAAATCGCCATGTCAGCCACACCTGCAAATGAAAGATTGCGTTCGAGGTTGCCTGAAGGTGACACCCGCTGCGGAGTTTCTTGCCCTCCAGTTCATCCACTTTTAAAAGTTCAGTTCGTTAGGAACCCATACAATCGCTTAGCCCGCTTATACCTTCACTAGGTGGTACACGTGACTGGCCACCTCACTAACATTGTCTCTTGTTATTTTGTCCCACGCGCTTCCAAAGACTGGGATCACCTTCCCTTTGTAATTACGTTCGTTTCAAATCAGGACCTAATTGTTCTTGTTCTACTCCACAATATACATTTATTTGCTTGATGCCGGGTAACGTGTATGCTGTATTTGTTATTTTGTGGGCTCTCTATATTTCATCCTATACCTACATGCGAGTTCTATTGTATCAGCTTGATACTGTATTCTGGCACGTTTTTAGGAGTAATCAATTACTTTAAAGTAATTTCTTTTTGCCTTTTGTTTGTTTTATTACGTACCAGATTCCTTCTAGAAACCACAGCGCGCTTTAAATTCAAATATTGAAAATAAATGAAGTGATGACATTTTTGGGTAGCGTACCGTACACTTTATCAATACCAGAAGCACCGATATTACACGACACTTGCGGGTAACTGCTCATGCTATCTTAGTAAAGAGGTCAACCGCAGCCTTTACGAAAATCAGAGGCGTAGTATATTCTGGAATATAAAAGCCCCTAATTTCAAACTTTCATGCCCAGAGGCTGCACTGTGGGCAATGGCTCATTCTATTAAAGCACTATTTAAACTCGTTTAGCAATTAAACCACACTAAAAGGGTTGTAGAATCAACTGCAAAGGAACTCTCGCTGAGGCTGTCTGAAAAACGCCATATATCAATGCGCCAGAGCTCTGATCTAGCTCGTTTTTCGAACTATCTTGAAGGCGTTCTTTGGGCTATGGCCTTCCTCACACAATCGCACCAATGTAATGCTACGCAGGACAAATCTTAAAACACATTTACTTTGGGGCTTTCAGGGTGGACCTTAATCTTCATAGATAGAGTTCATTCTCACTGAATATATTTTTTGCCTCCAACAGGATTTTTGCCTCCATCAAAACTGCAGTCGTCGCCACCGGAATTCGATCCTGCGACCTCGTTCTAGTTGCAATACATATAATTCTTCAGAAGTTTTACCATGCTCGGCGAAGACGTGCGATGAAAGAAAGGCGAAGAGCTGCTGGGGCACGTGCGAAGTCATCTCAAGAAATAACTCACCTGCAACTGTCTCTGGTAGCAGATTCCCTGTGGCGAATCTCACGTCGCGACTGTTCACCGCAGCAAAGTGCACATCGCACATGACTGGACCAGTGGCACCCTTAGCAGCGGGCGGCGTGTTGTAGGGCACTGGGGACTCGTACCAAGTCAGGCTGGATGGGTCGCCTCGTTTGCGCACGTTCAGAACAGCAAACCGCGTGTTCTTAGCTGTAGCTGCAGTCCAAATCCACAAACACACCAAATGTGAGCGACACTCGCTGCTTATATCCTAATACGCGAAGGGGGAAAGTAGTTTCCGTCTCACTGTTTTGAAGCTGCTAATCTCGCGCTACATACCATGTTTGGCTTGGTTTTGCAAATGCTCTGCATACAGTGTTTCCACGTTCACCTAGTTGAGTGACACCACAGCAGCGAGGCTACGAGTGAGCGCAGCTGCGACGCCTCCTAGCGGGTATACCTTTCGATCTTGCCTACCATGACTTATTTAAAAACAGTAATGCCATTTCGCACGAGAAGAAAGTTTATGACTACCCTGAGTACGCAACAATTACAAAATAAGGAGGCTACTCACAGCCTTTTCATTATAGCACTATTCCGTTATAGCACTGTTTTCATTATAGCACTATATAAAATCTTCGTGTTATTTATTCAATTTCAAGAAATAAAACTAAGACTATATCTCATATCGCCATGTATTATCCGATATTGTTCTTTTTGAATTGCGTAGTGATATTTTAGTCGTATCTTTTACCACGTTTCATAGCTTAGTTTTTTCGCAATAGTTGCCTATCATCGTTCTCTTAATCGTTCAATACTACAATGCCTTGCCGCTTACCCTTTCAATTTTATGGCATGCGTTCTTCATCGTGCGTTCCCCTTCAGACGTCGGAATATGGAACTGAACTTTGTGAAACGTCACCGTCATCTTATGTATCGGCATTTCGCCAACCATAAACTTACATCTTCACAGTGGGTCAGGTGGCGCGACGTCACGCCCAAAACACTTGCGCTCCGGCGCCTCAAGATCATTGGGACGCCATGAATGTCCTTGGAAACTTACAATAGTGGAGCTTTCGCTTTTCAAATCAAACACAATGGGTGTGTTCCAATACTCACCATAGACGACAAAACAGACAGCTAAGTGGACGGCGGCCATCTTAAGTCCCATTGTCATTCTCACGTATCCGGCAAAATAGACAGCTCCGAGATGACCGCATCGTAGACAAATACGATGCAGGCTACTTTGCTGTCCAAACAAGATAGCGGCTCAGCGAATCGCCTCAGATAAATCAAATCTCGCCGGAATGGTCGTCTGCACACAAGCAGACTCTTCCCCATACGCTCAATGTGAGTAACGTTTATTTGTTTTTACTTTCAATACAAAATAGGCCGGAAAATACAACTGTTACGTTTGTTTACTTTAGCTTTCTCTTCTCGACACAAGGTGGCGCATGGTCACGTTAAAGCCGTCCAGAAGTGTTCCAATTCTCGGACCGCGTGGGCTCGGTGCTGTCTTCTGAGCTGTCTACGTAGACTGTCCACGTGCTGTCTAAAAATTGGAACATACCCTATATAGGTAGATCGCGGTTGGCCGATGGTCTCCTTTCTCGCCGAAATGAGAAGTGCATTTGATAAAGTCCTTAAACAAATCCCAGTCTATCACTTAACTAGACTGTTTCAATTCCGTATTCGCTTTTTTTTTTGCGGTGGTGAATAGTAACCGGGCAAATCTGTCTGGAAACGAATCCAAACAATAGTTGGAGAACATTGGCATGGGCAATATTGTTTACATTACTTACCCAGGCAACTAAAACTTGTAATATTCGTCAGGTTTGATATATCAAATAAGTACTTAACGCCAATTCATTTTCGCGAAAACTGTTAGTCGAATCATTGCAATAGTCAGCTGTCTGGGCGAACGTGCAGTATCAAGGAAAATGTATGTCTTTCATGTTTTTAACCCTCCCCCCCCCCCCACCGCCCATGCTTTAACGCCTCTGGGCAAAGCGGAGATAAGTATGAATAATGAAAAAAAAATAAAGATGTCGATCTCTGTGTATGTTTGAGAGAATACTGGCCTACAAGCGTTTATCTTCTGGAAAAATCTGTATGCTTGCACTTTCCTCATATTTTTTTTATTATCTCTTAGTGACATGTTTGGTCAGCTGACTGATCATGCGATTTGGACTGTGGTGAGATTGTGTTGTGCATACCGCTGTCCAATGCAATTAAACTTCGTATACAGCTTGCCCTCCCCCCTTCAGCCTCATTTTGACTTGACTGCAAGGCAGAAGTTTAGGAGAAAACACGTGCTTGAAGAGTTTAAAAAAATGCTTAAAATGTGTTTTTGCCTGAGGAAGGCAAAGACACATAAATGTATTTGCCTTCCTCTGCTTGCTGCCCTGGAGACGAAACCACTGGTCTTCATGTTGGCCCTAGCCCTTCTTCATGGACATTTTATGCCATGTTAGCTGGCGCTCACACAGATATTGCTCGATGAAAGACAACACTATGCAGGATAATTATCATGATAGCGTATATTTTTAACACTATCTGAAGTACGTTTTCACTTTGAACAACTAGGAACAGTCAAAACACTGTATCTATATGAGGGTTGGCGGCAGAGGCATACTACTTACAGGATTTCGCAACCACGTGCCGGTAGGAGCCCCATCGTCCATTGCGGTAAACATTCATGACCAGATCCTTTTCCATGACGTCCTTGTATTCAGGCCTTCTCGTGCTGAAGTCAGCCACCTTGCTGGTTCCGGAACAGCCAGCATCCAATACACATCTGCGCATGAAGAATCGGAGTTATGCTTAGACGCGTTCTGCTGTGAATAGAGGAGGTTGTTTGCTTGCGCAAATGGACAGTTAAATAGGCCCATGTATTTGCATACACACGCATTACAACGTGCAAAAAGGTTACGCAGGAAGTATGTGGACACTAAAGTACGTGAGGGGACGAATCGTTATTCATGACTACTGAATTAGACAAGAGAGGCAGAAAGGTACGTATAAAAGTTTATCTGCTGTAAACGAAAGTATTATACATAAACCTCAGAAGAGAACAGTGCTTCGAGATAGGTAGCAGTGCACTTGAAGCTGTAAAAAAGTATGTCTAATTGGGACAGGTAGTAACCGCTGAGCCGATCCGCGAGATTGAAGTAAGTAACTGATTGATTGATATGTCGGCTTTAACGTCCCAAAACCACCATATGATTATGAGATACGCCGTAGTGGAGGGCTCCGGAAATTTAGATCACCTGGGGTTCTTTAACGCGCACCAAAATCTGAGCAAGTGGGCCTACAACATTTCCACCTCCATCGGAAATGCAGCCGCCGCAGCCGGGATTTCATTCCACGACCTGCTGGTCAGCAGCTGAGTGCACTCATTCACTAGACTACCATGGCTGGGCAGATTGAAGTAAGTATAGAAGATTAAGAATAGGGTGGAGCACATTCGGCAAGTTCTCATATGAAGAATGGTACAATGCCACTATCCCTCAAGAGGAAGGTATATAACAGCTGCATCTTGTCGGTACTTAGCTACGGAGTATAAACATCGAGGATTACAAAAAGGGTTCCACTTGAGCTGAAGACAACGCAGCGAGCAATAGAAAGGAAAGTTATAGGTAACCCTAGGGGACAAGAAGAGAGCACAGTGTATTAAGGAACAAGCGTGTGTTAAGGACATCGTAGTCGAAATCAAGTAGAAGAAATGGTTATGGGCCGGGCACGTAGCGCGAAGGCAAGACAACCGCTGGTCATTGAGTATCACTGACTGAATTTCAAGAGAAGACAAGCGGCTGAAGGGAAGACAGAAAGTTTAGTGGAAATCGGGAAGTTTGCGGGAATAAAGTGGCAGCAGCAAGCATGCACAAGACCGAATTGAGTGGCGGGACATGGGAGAGGCATTTGTCCTGCAGTGGGCGTAGTCAGGATGATGAAGGCGATTGAGGATGATGATGATGATAATGATGATGATAATGATAATGATGATGGTGATGATGATGTGGGTGCTACAAATGTGGAGAGAGGAAATATTTCGGACAACCCTATTTCTTGGCTTTGGTGTATGGTAGTGGCACTCACTTCCCCGTGCTCATGTGCATTGGTGCGTTTCAATGCGTTGCTGAAGCGGATCTCAAATCTAAGCTGCTCCCGGGAAAGCCGTTTGCTTTTATAATGAATTCACTCAACTAATTTGCATAAAGCATACTGACTGCTATTCTCTTACGTTAAGTAAAATTATCCTCTAATACATGCGTCCAATGTATAGGACAAACAAAAACCACTCATGGAGCACCAGTTTTATTTTCTTTTTTGAAAACACGTTTTCTGAATATTAGGAAAACAAGAATTCCCTGACAAGGTGTTTCAAAGTGAAGCATCTGCCAATAATAAATTGTGGGATTTTGCGTGTCGACATGATGAATACGTCCACCACAGCTGGGAGACTCTTTAATGTGCTCCTGAGCATGAGTGGACGGCTCTTCCTGCATTGTGCTCCCTTTGGACGCGTGCCCCCTTTTTAAAGTGTGGTCCCTTATGTTAAGAAGGCGACCAGCGTTTCCGAGCATGGGAGCACAAATACTTCAGCGATAAGTTGCCACGGCGAGTGAATGATCAAATAGATTGCGCACACAAAGCGCTGGACTTTGGGAGGTCAATAGAGATTTAAACATCTCTGCTCTCTGCAATACAGTTCGTGCCCTACACTATGCTGGATCAGTCGCTCAGGCTAATATAGGTTACGACAGAAATGAAAATTCATGATGTGGGTGTGTAGTGCCCACCACATAAATAAACACGACCCCACTATCATTATAACCTAGAAAATTTCGAGCAACGCTCCCTCATTTTAATGCGGATGATGGATCCGTGTTCATGCCCATTGAAACAGCGACTAAGCATGGAACTGCTTGTGCACATTAACCGAATATTTTGGCTTTATGAACAAGCTTTCATCCTTTAATTGAAAAAAAAAGTGTGGTTGGAGCCCTCAAGTGTTGCCTGTTTTTGCATTACATTAACCACATAGGGACTACAAATTTATAATCTAAGACAGCTATTACAAGGACTGCGTTTTCTTCGCATTTTTACTAATGTACCCACACTATTCTTCGGCCTTTCTTCACCTCTTATGCCCGTAATATATCAAGTAGGTGAACACGAGCTGACTGGTCACTCTGGTCTTCAGCAAAGAGTTTTATCCCTTTTGTCACTTCGATTAAACAGCCATAGTGCAATCGCTGCAATCGACAAAATGAGCCCCACGATAACGTGAGCCCCATCCCATCAGAGTGGGCTTTGAAGCCAGTGCCAGTAGAATATAGGGGCAGCATATGTCGATAAAAGCACCAATTGTTTTTCTATAATACACTAGAGGAAACTCCGGCGCTAGTTTCTATGTGAGCTGCAACGCACGACGCTTCAGCGAGCGTGAGCACGATGTGTAGTACAAAAAATTTTGTCTTTTCTTTGTACTTTCGGATCCACTTGGCTTCGCGTGGCCTAGAGCTGCTTTGTCACGAGAAGACACTCAGAAAATCATACAGCACTTGTACCGCACTACCTTAATTTTTTAGACTCCCCGATTTGAATAGGCTTACGAAGTTCACAATAGTGCGTTCTATTAACCGAAAGAAAACCAAAACACATCAATAAACAAAGCCGTAAGTGAGTTTGAAGCCCACGAGCACGAAGACTAGGCAAATCCCTGTACTATCCATCATTCGAATGACCACTGAACGATCCCAGCAACAGAGGCCCCTCATGTTAACGTTAGGAAACTCTACGATAAAAGGTCGCTTCATGCTATTATGTTAGCTCCTAAACCATCAAGAAATTAATTGAAAAGTGGAAGGCGAGAAATGACGTTTGCTCCGAACACTTCTTTGAGCCATCCATTATTATTATGTTTTATATAGCAACTAGCTTATGATATGTTATCTTATTCCTCACCTAATGTGACCTCCACCGGACTCGTGCCGGAGACAGTTGGCCAAACCAATGACGCCGCTTGTTCCAGCTTCCTCCGCGAGCAGCCACATGTTTTCCCCTCTCGGCTTCCACTCGTAGTCCAGTGCCTTCCGCTTGACCGAATCCACCAAGTCACCGGTTTCGCCGTCAACGGGCACTATTTCCTGCTTCACTTCTTCGAGGGCCATGGAACGCTTCCTGAACAGATAGAGGGCAGACAAGTTATTCGATTTGAAAGCCACTAGACGTAACCCGTGCTTCGAGAACTGAGCTTGTACTTCGTCTGCCGACGTAGCTGCGGGGCGGAGACCTCCGATTTCACCGATTACCGATTCAACGGGCGTCAGCGCCGCACGCTGGGCGAGCAGCACGAAACCGTTCTCCCTGCAGACGGCGTACAGTTCTTCGGCGACGTCCGTGGCTCCACTCTTGTCGACCCACGTGGCGCTTCGGGTCACAATCAAGTCCGCTTCGGGTAGTGTCTTCTTGGATGACGCCGAGCCCAGTGGCATCACCGTGGTACCCTGTGGTACCTTTCCCGACACTTTCTCTGGCGACGGATGTGCTACGATGTATTGGGTGGCTGGAACCAGGCTGTATTCAGAAATGTACTTCGCTAACCAGGTGACCAGGAGCAAGTCGCTACCTTGGGCTGCCAATTCGAGTATTTGGAAGCTTTTCGGGCTGCTGTTTTCGACCGCGATGTCAAGGAGAAACCTCAGAGGGTCTTCCTCAAAGAGGGCAGTGTTAAGTATGTCGGCTTCCAAGTCTTCCTTGTGCGTAGGCATGGCCGACTGAACGTACGCCGAGAGAGAAGTACCTGGGCGTTCTGCTTGTTTCTGGACGTCGTGAAGGAACCGCAAAAGGCCGTGGCCCTCGCGGCGCTCTTTGAGATATTGTTTCACCACGTGCTCGGGGACGTCGCGCAGGTCGTTCATAAGCTCACGAGCAAAAGACTTGACCTCGAAGCAGTCGCCTAAGGCCCGCCTGGCAACGCTGCAGCAGACTTCGACGTATTCACGAGTCAGGGACTCTCTCTTGTCCTTGCTGTCTGTGTCATCAAAGTAGGGAACGAAATGGTACTCTTCCACAACTGCTTTCTGTTCCTCGACATCGCTGTAGACTGTGTCTGTGCATATTCCGCGAATGAGGACGCCGCCGGCGTGGCAAGTGTCTGTAATTTTGTTGTAGATGACTTCCACGCCTGAAAGTATGAAAGAAAAATATCGATTGTAACCGAAAAAAAATGGACCGGCAAAGTTTTCAAGAAATTTTCGTCTCGAACGTGTAGAACTGATGGACGATGAGACGAAGCGTGGATTATATAGACAATACGTTCAGCTGACGTTTTTTTTAATCCACCCCAAAAAAATGATAATTCAATGCCACTATAATGTGACCCGCAGCTGTATGGAACAATATACGCCCGATACGGATATCCACCGACAGAGATAATCACGCTTATGTTGTTAGGGACAGAGGCTAGCAAACGAACGGCAGCATTACCTATGCCTTTGTTGCCTGTTCAGTATTTTATGCAATCCGTAGAAATCTAAGCAGCGTGAATTCAGATGCACAAGTGTTGCGAAGGGCGTTTTCGTTGAACTCTTTCTGCGAAGAACGTCTGCTATCAAGAACGAACAGATGAATGCACATGATTACATATATTCATATGTATAAATATATGAATTTGTAACTTTGAAGCTTCAAGCCCGCAGCGATACAGGCTATGTATGTATGTATGTATGTATGTGTGTGTATGTATGTATGTATGTATGTATGTATGTATGTATGTAGTATGTATGTATGTATGTATGTATGTATGTATGTATGTATGTATGTATGTATGTATGTATGTATGTATGTATGTATGTATGTATGTATGTATGTATGCATGTATGTATGTATGTATGTATGTATGTATGTATGTATGAATGTATGTATGTATGTATGTATGTATGTATGTATGTATGTATGTATGTATGTATGTATGTATGTATGTATGTATGTGTGTTTGTGTGTGTGTGTGTGTGCGTGCGTGCGTGCGTGTGTGTGTGTGTGTGTTTGCACGCATGTATGTATGTATGAATGTGCATACGTACATACACAGACGGAGAAGCACTGATAACAATTAGATGAGGAAGAACAGTGTTATAGCGGGTCACCAATGTGCGCCGATATAGGCCTACAACTCGGGGAAATGGAGTGTATACCTGTGTCGCCCGACTTTTCAAGGACTCCGGCATGAACGCAGGGGTCGAAGCGAAGGAACTCAATGGTCGTAGGCATTCTGAGCACTCGAACGGGGCTCCTGAACATGACGAACTGGATCACGCTGTCGACGAAGGTGACCCAGTTCTTCTTCCATCGAAGCTTTCCACACGGTTCTGCTCAAAATAGTAAGTTTAATTAACGTGAGTGACAATACGCACAGCGCAATGGAAACGGCAAAACTGGTAATTCATCGCTCCTAGATGTATATGCAGTCTCACCCGATTTTTGTGCGCGCACATGGGAAAACTGTGGCAGCACTGCAAGGCCGAAGTAAGGATTGGCTACAGGACAGCTGATGTTCCGTCGGAAGCTTATGCGGAGCGCAGACAGAGATGAAAGAACGCCTCCTTAGTCGTTCTTAGTCGTTTCTTATAGTATTTGCGCTGTGCGGAAGCTTGATTAAGTGTAAATAACACGCGTTGTACTGCAGTGCGACCCAAACAAAACACATCCGCACCATATCAACTGAAAAAAAGATAGCACATGTTAATGGTGGTCGGCACCGTAAAACTGCGACACGCGGCGTTGTTCACTAGAATACCAATAGCGAGATTTCAAGCACGTTCCATTTTACAGAGTTGGGGTGACCGGTGGGCTAGCGCAAGTCAGCCCATCTTGCAGTTGCCCAATCCAGAAGCTCGCGTATCTAAGAAAAGCTTGTTCATTGCTTCTCAACCTTTTTTTTTTTTTGAATTTTACCGCTGAAGGGGCGGCCGGGCAAACAGTATTTTCATAGCAGTTGTCCAGAAGAAGCTGCTTGTCGAAGTGTTTTCCACCAGCATTTCCCGCTTTGGAAAATGGAATGTGCTTGGTATACTCTCGAAACAGCCGCTCCCACAGAAAGCGCATCGCCGCATGTCACCATCTCATACCTCTCCATTAACCGGTCGTTTGCGTCTCTTTTTCTCCTGAGTCTTTGGTGACAAACTGAACTCGTCAATCTTTGCGGCTAGTCTTAAACAGTGGCATAAAACATTATTTAACGTCAAAATTCACGCGTATTAAGCGCATTGCTTCGCATTCGCGTGCACACGGGGAGTTGCAAGTTCAGCGTCTGGTCGTCTCTTCGTCCGTTTTTGTCTATATTGTTGTGCAGTGTTTACATCCCAGCATGAACCACCAACATGTCCAACTTTCGCTTCTCGTACGAGAACGCCCTCCTTCGATGGTCAAGGCGGTGGGGTGGGCGTGTGGCCTTCACCACTGGCCCTCTCTCCCTGTGTGCATACCTCTGATGACACGTCCATGTGTGCAAGTGCTCATTTTCATGCCATTCTTACGCTCAGGAGGCACTTTACGGAAAGCAGGACTTCTTGTTCCCAGTTGTGAATATACACAGGGTGTCCCACGTAGCTTTAGCCAAAGTTTAAAAATACGCCGGAACACGTAATTACGACGCGACCAAATGCACGTTGCTCACCGTTGCCTGGAGTTAGTCAGACTATTTTTTTGTGTTTGCAAGTATTGTTAAATTAGATCTCCTTAATTGACTAGCTTTTGAAGGAACGAAGATGGGAAAAATTTCAATGAGAAAGTTGTAGATTGGTTTGCAAAAGTCCAAATACATAGTTTCGAACTTTATATCTGCTAAGTATTAGTGTTCTTCTACTATTTACAAATGCCCGCGAAATACTAAAAAATAGCACGTCACAAACCCGCTCGCGCGTCAGTTCACACGATGATTCTAGTGCTCCCTAACGTTCCGCGTACGAACGACACGCTTCCCTCGCAACAGTCCGTGACAGCGATAAGCAGTCACAGCAGTTATCATTTTTGTGGCCGATAGAAAACCGTGTTCATCGTGAAGCCACCACCATCGTTGCGGCCCTGTCGAGACAGCACAATGGGGCAAATGCTATGGTCGTTCGTACGCGGAACGTGAGGGAGCACTAGAATCATTGTGCGCACTGGCGCACGCGCGGGTTTGTCACGTGGTATTTCTTGTAGTTCGCGGGCATTTGTAATTAGCAGAAAAACACTAATACCTAACAGATACAAAGTTCAAAACTGTCTAATCAAAAGCTTTGCAAACCGATCTACAACTTTCTCGTTGAAATTCTTTATCTATCTTTGTTCCTTCAAAATTTAGTTAATTAAGCACATCTAATTAAACGACTTGAGAACGCAAAAATAATCTGACTTACTCCAGGCAATGGTGAACAAAATGCGTTTGCTTGCGTTATAATTAAGTGTTCCAGCATATTTTTAAACTCTGGCTGGAGCTACGTGGGACACCCTGTATACGCGATTGCACAGATTGAAATTCGCTCCGCACTGCCGTGATGGCAATCAGCAAAACGTTCATGTTGAGATGGCATTGACATAAAATTTCCAGCTCGTTCTCTCACGTGAAAGTTCAATAGCTCGAAACCCTATAAAAAGTGCTAGTAGGCACGAGTGCACCTCGATAAATTAATTATATCATGTTTATATAAGGCTATAGTTTCAAATCCTACTAAACCGTAACGCCACGCCACGATATAAGCTTCTAGTCACGTCATCATGCAAGGTATTTTGACAATTCTGCGGCTGTTCTCCTACGTGGCTTCATTGGTAACGGGAAAGCGGCCATTTTGCATGTAATTATACCCAACGCCATCACAACTAGCCATACTGCTTGGTGCGCGAGCTCACCAGAATCGACACTGTAGACCGGCACTTCAGTAGGTGTGAAAGTGTTTATTCTGTGAATAAAATTTCTTACCGGCATTTCTTAAGCTACAAAAATGCACAGAGCCTTGTATGTATGAGTGCATTTTACGGCGTTGTCCACGCAGCTTCGAAAACCGGTGCCAGCACTCCTTTAAGCCCTCACTAACGTCTCACCTCGCACGTCAGCCTTGAGGATGCCCCGGAAATCTCCCAGGTAGTCGTAACCGCGCACAGTCAGTTCCTTGTACACGTCCTCAGAGTCAAGATCGAAGGCGACTTTCTCGGCAGAGGCAGCAAGTGTATCCGCGTCGATCGACGGGTCTCCAGCATCGTCAATGCGAATGGAACCACTCGCTGCCACCGTACCTTCCTCGCACACTTCGAACTCGCCGGACGAGTACATGATGGTCACCACAAGGCGCACGGTGCCTGGACGTACGCACGGCAAATTTGACCCAACATTGCATCCCTTCGAGATGCCATGCACACAATCGTGTATATAGCGGTGTCCACCAAGACTTCAGTGACGTATTTACGTCACGGACGTGATGTCAAAAAACTACGCGGGATCAGTGACGTATTTCTGTCACGGAAATGACGTCAAAAATTTACGTCAGATTAGAAAGCAATGGAAAGAAGTTCCGTCAACGGGTGTCGAACCATCGACCTTTCACAGCGCAACAGAGGCCGTGCCCGCTACCCACTGCGACACGACTACGATTCCTGGAAGCTTTACGAACGCCACATTCGCTGGAAGACACAACCATGTTCGGCTAGTTCTTGCGCCCCTTTCCATGAGCTACGTCGAAACTATAATTTTTCTTCGATCGAAATAATGTCAAAAGGGAAATTGCAATGTATTTATAGCTTGACATTTGAATTCTACTTGTGCAGAAACAAAAGACGTGTCTTCAAGATAATTAATCGTAGGTTTACAGTTCAACCAGGTTTACATACTACAAACTGTTTTTGTTTTTTTGCAGTAAGATATACAGTGTCTTGAAACAATGTTGAATAAACTTGATGAATTTACAGACAGATCTTTAGGTGATGTCCAAAAAGGTTAAACACAATGCACAGAGTATTTCAAGACATCTATATTAAGAAGTCTTTTTTCACAAATCTTGGACAGCTACTGCTTAAATGACTACTGAAGTCAGACCTATAACTTTTCACCAAGTATGGCCGACTGCGACTGATGAAATCAAACTTCGTCCACCTTGGTGAATGGCTAGGGTGCTTGACTACTGAACCGGAGGTCGTGGCTTCGATCCCCGCCACGATGGTTGAATTTCGATGGAGGCGAAATGATAGGGGCCCGTATACTGTGTGATGTCAGTGCACGAGAGAGAACAACGGATGATCTAAATTTCCGGAGCCCTCCACCGCGGTGTCTCACACAATCATATCGTGGTTTTGGGACGTAATACCCCAGGAAATATTATATCAAGCCGAATTAGATATCCTTATCACACATATGCGATTGTTTTGACGGTAAAATTCATTGTTCACATGCAAAAAAAGTAGGACCTGAACGCGTGAAAATATTACAAGCGTTTTCCGCGAATAAGCAATCCTCGCAATCACCGTGTCGTCCTCCGGAGACTAATACGGTTCTTACGGCGCAACCCTTTCATTGAAAAACCCCACGTTACGCCGAATGAGTTTTCTATCATTTAAAACTACTAGGAGTTGTGTTCTTTTTTTGTTTCATTTGCAACTGCTATCATCTAAAGTGGTAAAGTATACATGCATATACATGATATGCGTGTATGCCCTGACGAAGGCCGGTCCCCGGCCGTAACGTTGGCAATAAAGCAATAAAGCATCGTTTTTTTTGTTTGCTCGTCCGGTTCATCTGACGATATATATATATATATATATATATATATATATATATATATATATATATATATATATATATATATATATATATATATATATATATATATATATATATATATATATATATATATATATATATATATATATATATACTTTCTCAGTCATCAGTGAGAGTTTGAGCCTCGCGCGAATCGATTTCTTGCGAGCAATATCGCAGCGGCTGACGTGTTTTTGGTACTATAACACATGAGTCGCTTTAACGGTGTCCATATTAACGAGGTTCAGTTGAACCAAGTGAAAAAAAAGGCCGACTTTACTCACACCACGCCGGCATTTTTTTCCAGCCACCGCGACAACGTGGCGGACAGTTTCTGCGCATGTTACACAAACTGTGGCTCAAAATAGTGGAGGGCTCGCGGTAACGGAAGTCGAATTCATCTTACGCTGCAACATATTGTAGAACCATATACATACCAGTCTCCGGCAAGACGACGTTCCTATGCACCTTGACGTTCTCGAAGACGACGGGCACCTCCTCGGCGGGCTTGCCATGGCGTCTGCTGAGGGACTTCCAAGCAAGAAGAAGGTGAATACCCACCGGGATCGTCACCTCGCCGGCGAGTCGATGCCCGGCCAGGTAGGCAATGTCCTCGTTTCCGTGGACGTCAATGTTGAAAATGTCATCCTTTCCCTGTAAGGCAAAGATCGGGAAACTGGAGATCCGATGAAATCAAAAATGCTCGAACACGAGGTGTCACTGGCGTATACGTTTCGGCAAGCAGTCTTGTCTTGTGCAAGGCTGTTGCTACCTCGAAAGAGGACAAGGGCATTTGTTCAAACGTTAGCACCAGCGGCCCCACGTGTTCGAGCATTTTTCATCCTTCACCTGAGCACCATCGAGAATATTATTTGCATATACAGATTGTTGAAATAACAGGTAACTGGCCAATGCCAAAACAAAAGAAGAATGACGTTGTGGAATCCGTACGTATTCTGTACGGTCAGTGCTTTACCTGACCATACGGTATTGCACCGAACTCTCGACTGTGGAATATACAGGGTTCCTCCCCGAGTGGACAGAAGTGCAAAGGCCATGCAACCGGCTCTGTTTCCCCACCCACCACTCTCAATAGACCACTGACCACCCCAAGCACATGTGCGCCCGAAGATCCTAGAAGTAGCAAGTGCACGCGCGCCACGCCAACGAGCCGTGCTTCCTACCACTTGGTGATGTAAAAAGTGTTCCAAGCTGGTAGCCTTCCGGTTTCACAGATCACCGACTCCTTGGCAGTGCGGGGGCACAAGCAAACTTGCTTCTGCTTTTTATGGGTGTCATAGAAATGCGCTACCGGATTACGTGTGGACGTGTCCCAAAAACTAAAAGTTTGAAAACTTGCCATTAATAAATGTAGTATCTCTAGACCAGGTGTCTAACAAACCTAGTATCTTAATATCTATTTCTGTTGCCTGAACCAGTGCCTGTCTACTCTGCAACAGAGCCCCGTGACTGCTGCGCCGCCGTAGCGGGCTCACCTCCACAAGGGTAGGAACATCTCTCCACGATGCGACGGCCCACTGCTGCGTGTGGTCCCAACTGACCAGGTGGCCAATGTTGGGCGTTCCGCGTGGCAGTGGCCAGGGTACGGATGGGTACAGAGCGGACGGGTCCAACTGCACTCCCAAAGTGTGAAGCTTGCCCAGCGAGCCCAGGAAGAACGAGTGGTTGTCCGCGTCCTTCTTCATGAGGCCGAGACAGGAGGCACCAGAACCCAGTTCACGGTGAAGGATAGACTGCGCACAGTGGTGTGCTTTAGCGACATGCGCCCGTCATGAGAGGTCTCTGACGATATTAAAGGGCTACTGCGGCCAAGCATTTTCAATTGTCGCGTATTTTCGTGCGTCAAATGAAAGGCCATGCCGTCAGGAACCTAAAATAAGTACCGGTAAGCTTGACTACACTTAGAGAAATCCCGCCTTCAAAAGGTAATTTAAATTCCTACTGTACCACGAAGTAAGCACACGGCATGAGCTTCTAGTCAAGCAGTTGTCGAAGATATAACGACGTTTCCACTTCCTCTGCACTTTTTCGGAGCGTTAAGTACGCACAAGCTTCCTTTTTGTATTTCTGGTACTTGAGATCATAGCAACTAGCCATATACTAGTGTGCCAAATTACCGAGTTTACAATTGTGCTCCTATAGGACCCTAGTGTGGATATCAGTAGGTGCACTGTTCAAAAAGTTACAAATATCTAAACAAAATATCTTATCGTAATTTCCTGGGCTTCCCACTTCCCACAGCCGTATCGCGGGGTAAAGTCAGCTGCGTCCTTAAAACGTGAGGAGTGACGTTCGGCGCCAACATGGATGGTTAGGAGTGACATGCCCACAGTTAAAAACACGATGACGTCACCAATGATCACACTTTTGTTGCGGCAGCAATCCGCTACTACGGCGTCGCGTAATATAGTGCAACATCATGCAGTCATCAGGCAACCTCGTCCTTCGGCCGAAGTGGGGCCGACGCTGGAGGCTGTGGTGCAGCACTACGTGTCAACATGTCATTGGCGTCTAAAATGATGACGGCGTGCTCGGAGGGCGACACCTTTCGGCGACGCCATTAGCGCTTACCAGCAGCAGGCAGTGAGGCGCGAACTCGACCACTATCGCATCCTTGGGCACATGTCGCAGCGCCTCGCAGAAGAGAACCGGGGAGACGAGGTTGTTGACGAAGTACTCGGCGGAGCAGCGTTGAGCGATCGGCTGCCCCCAGCGGCTCTCCGGAACGGACGAACTGATCCATCTGTTTCCCCGTGTCTTTGGCTCGGGTATAACCTGTTCGGTCACCACACGAAGAGAAAGTCACGCTGGTGTAGTTACAGGAAGAAAGACTCGATGACTGTGTAGTGCTGAAATTAGGACATTGTCACGAACTGCAATCATGCGACATTGATACTATAGTCGCATACAGCCTAAGAAGTCCTGAGAGGCTTCGCCTAGCTGGCCAAATCGTGAAATCCGATTGCCTTCCCGGCTAAACAAACAGTCGCATTTATGCGCACGGCAGTCTTCTATAGGAAAGCTGCGTAACCAGCCGTCCGCTTCGTGACGCCTGTCCAAATTGCGCGCCAACTGGTGCTCGCTTGTACGCATGCGCTTTTGAGGAGGAAATGCTGCATAGTTCTAAAGTTGTACGCGACTATAGAGAGCGACGAGTAACACTAGATTCTAACATATGGAGTGCGCATGGCTCTACTCCCGTAAACCTGGATTCAGTGCAGAGGCGTAGCTGAAACTTCTTTATCTTCGGGATGGGGGGGGGGGGGGTGGTACATCGTTTAAAAGGGTTGTTCTGCTCTGTATGCCATGGTGGATACACCCTTAAAATTTTGGAGGGAGGGGGGGGGAGCACGGGCCCAATGCGCCAGCCCCTGGGTACGCGACTGGTTGACGGTGAAAATATTGTAGGAGTTCCGAAGATAGTGATGTTTCCCAGTGTCGTTTGTACATATGCTACGTTCCGTAGAAACTGTAGAATGTACAAACGACATTAGGAAATATCGAACCCTAAACGAGGACGTTACCGAGCGCCTACGTACTGGGACGTCAAAAGCAATGGAGAAGGCAGGGCATGGAAAACGGTGGAATAAAGGCACACAACTGCCTAATAGCACACTAAAGAGAAAAAATCAGTTTTTTAGACTGACAAAATACACTACGAGAACTCTAATGTCACAAGTTTCACTGTCATAAATTTATCACTAGCGGAGAAAATCAAGGTTGAAGTATCGTTTTTAAATTTCGCGGCGTAATATCCGCGCGGGACGTCAAGATTTCCGCATTGTATATTTCGCCATTTCGCGACATTGGCACAAAAAAGCTTTCTGAAGCTTCGCATGCTAAGTCAATGGCACCCACCGATGATAATGTACTTTAATGTAATTGATTAGAAGGCACGTAAGATCCAGTAGACGCCTTCAAAACCTGTGACGCCACCATTCCTGCTGCGCAAATTTCATGGTAGTGTTCCATCCGCACTTTCTTTTTTCACGCAATTCCATGCGTACCAAGTGTCGCGTCGCAGTACGAGTGGTGTTTGCGGGATTTTGTAATTGTACTTGATTATTACGCAATAAAAGCGTTTTTGTCTTCAGTGTCTTTTTAAAAGTGAAAACCGCTAGCTGTGGAGCCTGCCGACAGTCAAGCTCTGCGAGAAAAGCCAAATTGCTCTGGCAACATTCGGCCTGTTTCATTCATTAAAAGAGAAGCTACATTTTCCAGCAGGGTTCCTGCTTTTGGAGGGACGTCACAGCGCACTGCAAAGAGGGCGTGAGCTACTTCGCACCGCTCCAACACCTGCGGCGAGGGGGAGTGGTGCGGACGGAGGGACAGCGTTACACAGGCTAGTCAAAGAGCTGCTTCTCATCCAATAAGCGTTTCACTTGAGTTCGTAGTGTTACTCCCCATGCGGTCGCATTCATTCTTTTTCTGCCACCACTCACCTCCTTATAATGTTTCAACAGAGCGGGTCCGACACGCTGCATTTGAGCACTGTGGAAGGCCACGTCCATGGTGTTCACGACTCGGGCGAACAACTCCTCGGCCCGTAGCTCTTTTACGAGCTCTGCGACGGCGTCCGCCGGTCCGGATACGGTGACGGAGTCCTCGCCATTGTGGCACGCCGCTTCGACGCCGTCGCGACCACGCCGTTTCGCTTCCTCCCAAGTTAACCCTGCAAAGATATACACGGGTGAGATGGACTACGTTTGCTCACTGGTCAACGAGATCTCGTAGATAAATGCCCAGCAATGAGTGCAGTTTAAAGAAATCGCATATAAGAACAGGCGAAATGCAGCTCCAGTAACAACCCATCATAGTCCAGTGGAAATTAAGTTCGCTCAACTTGAGAGATTAGTGAGTATTAGAAGATATAAGGGATATCTTTGGAAGGACTCGCTTTTTTTTGTTAAACCCAATGATCGTTCGATTTTAAAGTCCCAAAATCACTATATGACTATGAGAGACACCGTAGTGGAGAGATCAAGGAATTTCGACCACCTGGGGTTTTTTAACATGCACCTAAATTAAAGCAGACGGGCCTCAAGCACATTCACTTCCATCGAAAATGCGGCCGCCACAGCCGAGATTCGATCCCGTGACTTGCGGGTCAGCAGTGGGGTGCCTTAGCCAATTGACCACAATGGAGGGTTTTAGTTAAACACTTCTAAAAGTTCATTCGAGCGCGAACACAAGACACAATCACTCACACACGCACACACCCAGGCATCAAACACACACACACACAGCGCTGGGTGTGTGCATGTGTGGGTGATCGTGTCGTGTGTTCGCGCTCAAATTAACCTTTAGAAATTTTGTACCAACTAGCCTAAAACATATTCTTTTACAACATCCTTTTAGTTAAACACAACCAAAAGAATCCATTAGACAGTTCGGCCAAGGAGCAATAATTGTTCTGTTTAGCTGCCGTTTGTTTATAATAATGTAAATTAAAGTTAATGAAGCCGACGAAAGAGCAGCCATTGAGCCATAAAAACGTTGTTCTGTTTAGCTGTCTTCATCGAGATATATAAATAAATAAATAAATAATATATATATATATATATATATATATATATATATATATATATATATATATATATATATATATATATATATATATATATATATATATATATATATATATATATTGTGAGCGCTGACTACACTCTAAGCCAAAACGGAGCAACAGGGGTATAGGGGTTGCTCCTTTCAGGGAGCAATTGCATTGCCACTCCCATTACTCTCCTAAAAGGAGTAACTGCAGAGGGAGGAACCGTTGCTCTCCTTTCAGTTCCTCCTTCGGGGGATGAACAGTTACTCCCTCCAGTTCCTCCCTGCAGATCAACAGTTACTCCCACCAGTTGCTCCCTGCCGACCAACCCTTACTCCCACCAGTTGCTCTTCTAAGAGCAACAGTTACTCTTTACCGTTCCTCCCACGTGTTTGCAGTTACTCTCTGAAAACCAACTGCACATGCTTCCAGTTACTCCTTGGGGAAATGAGTATTTATCTCGAGTATGCTTGTCACACGCTTAACACATGGCGAGAGCTCCTTGGAAGAGCACTGCTTGGGTGCTTCTAACACAAAAAGTGGACAATATTGAAAGGAAAATAAATGCTTTATTGTTCTTTTTATGAGGCGACGTGTGACCACACGTAAAAGTAGACTTCGCCACACCACAGCCAGCACTAAACAAACACCATATTACATAAAGGTTTTCTGCGTCATCCGTGGAAAAACAATCTTGAATTTCTAGCATAGGGCAGTCTGTGTCATCATTGGTGAGAGAAGGGCAACTTCTCCAATTCTGAAGAACTCAAGTTTCGCAGCTGGTGTTTCCATCAGGCTAGCGCAGCAGAACGTCACCGCAGGCATATGTGAAGCATCTCATTGCTGCAAGAAAAAAAAATAGAAGTGTGAGGTTAAACATGCCAGAATCAATTCATAACAATGAGTCACACACACTGCAGCAGCGCTTACATTCTAGGATGTCTACTGCAAAACGAAATGTGAAAAAAAGGAAGGTTCGGCCAAACGTTACTTGGCAAGCCATATAAATGCTGATGTGGTAGACGCTCTTCACATGATGTCTCAGACAGCAATATTCTGGAAGAAAATGTGCAGTACCTCAACAAGGCATATTTGTAGAAGTTAAAGATACCCTTAGGTACAGTTAACTTGTTTCCTATACACAGCTGAGTGACATTTCTATGAGCCCATTCACCAATGGGCATTCTAAATGAGGTCATGTGTGTGGCAAATAACACGTACTGTCCGCTCATGTTAAAATACTTATTTAGCTCGTGCACATAGTTGCTCTCGATTCTACTGTTCTATCATACGCTGCTGCGTCTTGAATTGTACAATACCTGTAGGCACAAGCCAAGCATGCAAAGCCTGCTTGAAAGCAACCATTTGCAGAGGCTACATGATAATCTTCAGTATATTTCTTTGTACCTGACGCAAACGGCTGGACAAAACTATAGACAAATAAATGTAGACCGTGCTACCTTCAAAAAGATGCTTTAAATTTAGAAAACTAAGGTGCATTTGTTCACTCGGTTGACGAGTCACAGCCACGAGATATGTAAACGAAGCAATATATCTTAAGGCATGCACAGATATTATGATTCTTTGTTTGACAGTGTCACAGATAGCTTGCCAATACATATATATTTGAGAGCAACAAGATGTGAAGCTTTTATTAGCTCAACGTCTTGTTAGTTCACAGCCAAACAGGTTACTGCTTGTTAGACAAATTGGAATAAGCACACCATGGTTTCCAAAAAAAAAGCATTATTAGAAGTTAGCTCTTGGTGTGAATGTCTGCCTATTTATTTTGTACTGCCTTCTACATGTGCCACAAAGACATTTGTTGAGGATGTGCTACCAGTCAAGCCAAGATCGCATACTTGGTCAATGTGATGGAAATACAAACATTAGAAACACTGCCACCTCTAGTAAGAGCATAACACTTCAGTATCTTGGACTAGCAAAGAGGTGCACAAGAAAGTTAAGCCCACTCTTGCGGAACTTTGAACGCGAATATTTCAGAGTGGGGGAGGTCAACATGCTGTGGCACTTTTAAACCCACGAAACATCTGCAGAAAACAGGGTAAAGGCAAGTCAAGAAACGCTGTTATGAAGGCCTGCGCATGGACAGCTTTGTGAATCTAGGCCCAAGTGTTATGCTTTGTGCAAGCCAAAATCCATGTAAATAGGGAACGCATACTTTTAGGAGTACCAGCGTAAACAAATCTTGGCAGTTGGCTTTTTAGTACAAACAGCAATCCCTGCAATGAAAACATAAACATTTCATCTTAACGGTAACAGTGTGAGCACACACACGGGCCAGCGGAGCCATGTCGAATTGTCAGTGCCAGTGTAACCATGTGGCATAATGAACTATTCTCTGGCCAACACATGCACAGTTTGCCCCTAAAAAGCGATGCTTTCATATACGTAGTACAAAAAGTCTGCACTTACCAAAATTCACTTGCTTTCTGTACTTTAGCATCTTTGGGAGCATCTTTATCTGCAGTATAGCCAAATTTGTGTCATATCCCCGAAAAAAAAAAGTAAAAGACATGCATCAAATATTGTTTCATTTGGTAGCAGTGAAGTCAGGTTAAGAACAGCCAAGTGGGAATCAGCATGCCAAGTTTTCACAGCGCATAAAGATTTCATGATGCAGAATAATGACAGCGCAAACGAGAACATACAGCATTTATGATTGTCTTTTACAATATTCAGTTTTGCTAAGGTTTTGCATCACTAAAGAAATCTGAAAGATTTGGGTCATTCCTCCTCCAATTGTTCTGTCAATATGTAAACTGCTCGCTTGATGGTGCGCTTATAAAATAGTACGTTCAGCGCAGAGGTGAAGCAAGTGACGCAGTGATGTGGGCAGATTTTTTTTTTTTTTTAGGCGTGCGGGGATGGGGGGGGGGGGGGGGGTCCGCTTATCTGAATAGGCCGGGCAAGCGAATATGGTCGTCAATTTGGGCTCCCTACGCCCGGCCTAAAAAAATTCTGTGCGCAACCGCCTGGCTATTCCAGTGAAGTGATGCGACAATGATTTGTTCACTTACTGATTTACATACACTTTACATCTCTAAAAAATGCGGCCCAAGGCCCCAACACTCAGCAGTTAACATTACATAAAGCCAATGGTAGAAAAGTGCCAGTATGAATGCAGCTACAACCCCGCCCCAATGTTTTTTCAAGCAAGGTGGTGTTGCGGAAATGAACTTTTAACTGCAAAAGTACACTGGCACTGCAGTGGTGACAGGGGAAGCAAGAGGGTATGCAGGCGGTAATAGAGGTAATTTAGTCCGATACGGCTAGCAATGGATACGGTGAATAAGAGCAAATCATTTCTCTTTCAATAGCGCAACCACTGAACAATGTATTGTAAGAGCATTAAATGTTGCTGGAAATGCCACTCACCTGCACGCTGATGCATGCACAGTCCTTTGTCCGACGAGCGAACAGGCTTGCAGATAGCTGAAGACGTGTTTACGATGTGTTTGTTCCACCCAGCAGCAAAATCCACAACTACTTCGCGCTCCATAAAGATAAATATACACTAACCTTCATCACGAATAAGTAGAAACGCAAATCTGCGACACACACACACGATCAAAACATAGCTCACAAGCTGGCACGTCCATGTGCTCGCCAGCCACAGACCATATGAAAATGAGTAAGTAGTGCGAACGCGAACCTAGTTGCGCCGAAAAAAAAAAAAAAACGTCGAGCAGTGGCAGCACGGGCGTCAGCGCAATAATTTCAGTGTGTTCTCCTAATACAATTATAAAAAAAACTGAGGTACACTGAAAGTCATAAATAAATATAAAAAGTTGAGTGTAATTTTTATTTAGTGCTAGTCAACATAAACACTGAATAAAAATTACTTTGTAACTTACATCGTTTGCTACACTAGCGCCACACTTGTCGTGCGGGCGCAGATGGCGCAGATTTGTCATTCTGCCCTCAAACTACACGGTGAAGCGTGCTACTAAGTGTATGGCTGGGTCCGCTTTTTTTTTTTTTCTTCTCCGATATATTTGGGCGGGGGGGGGGGGGGGGCTCCTTATGCACGTGTTTCGGTGCTTGATCGACTTTGACGCCCTTACTTCGCAGACGAACTGCGTGTCTAGGCTTTTTTT